GATCATGCAAATTTTGTTTAATCATGTTCTTGCTCTAATGCTGAAAAGGTTGTGTGAACGAGGTGCTATTGGACCTTGCATCATTTCAGGCTTGCATCTCCCAAGGTCGGCTAATCAGGCAATCCTTCATTGATCTTAGAAGTTATATTCTTCATTTATTGATGGTAGATGCAACCATATAAATATCAGTAGATGAGGTGATTACTGAACCATTGCACAACGCCCTTGCCTGTTGCCTCCAAACAAAAAACAGTAATATTCAGCGTCAGGGAATAAAGAGGGGTGAGGTTTATACAGCCACCATCACCATCATGCTCTGATCCAATGTTTTATAAAAATATTGAGATTTTTGGATTAGAACATATACATGTACAGTTAGCATGCTGTGGTTTTAATGTTTGCTGCTGGTATCTTCAGAACAGAACCTCGCCATGTGCCGAGTGTGAGATTGCTGCCCTGAACTGCTATCTAGAATAAGCAGAATGCAATAGTTTTTACAATAAGCAGTTTGTGATTGAATTAATCATCATTCTGTTTTAGCTGCGCCTTTCATAGTCTTTGGTACATCCTTTGTTAGTCGACGTTGGCAGTGCTCTCCAAACTACTAACTGAATGCCAATAATCCGAAATTGACTCTTCTTCCTTGTTGTTTTCAGCCATTTGTTTCAGTTGACTTTAATAGTTTGCTGGTTTCAACGATCTGCCACAATGCTGGAGACAGCCCTAGGGGCAATCTAGGTTTTGCCTCTCTCCACTATTCATGATCTGGCAATAACCTATTGTTAACGAATCGGCACACCTATATTGGTCTGGGATTGGGGCGAGTACTGTGCAAAATTTTATTTTAAGTGTATAATATTTCATCTTTGAGAGTTATAATATACCTCTCGCAGGGCCATACTTTCATAAACAGGTGTGACATATATCAAGATCGAGTTTTGTCCTGCCAATTTGCAATAAGATTGTTTCGATTTTATGTTAAAACTTAAATTACATTTTAATTGTTAATAATGCATCATGCCTTTGTCGATCTTGTGCATGCTGGAGCTTTGGCCACCAGATGGCAGGGCAATAGCTATAGGAATATGCTCTATTTAATTATTCTTTGCAATATTATTTGCTTGATCATAAGGCATAAGAGCAGCAGAGCATAGCGGTTCTGTTTCAGTTTAGCAGTTGAGTCATCTTGCGAACAGAAGCAGTGCAATTTATTATGATTCAAATTCTGTGTTTTTGGAGCTTCCAAGAATTTTCTTTGATGGATCCCCTGATCTGCATATAGTTTTCTTGTTGCAGAGGCTGTAGTACTGGGAGCACAGGGTTGGATGGGATCAGTGAGTTAAACTATGTAACTTATGGCTTCTGACAATTTTTTAAATCGCAGAAGCAGATACACCTAAACGCTAAGTAAGGTATAGTGGCACTGAGCCATTTAGTGCGCCCCACCACCCCCCCCCTTAAAAAATGCAATTTATGTCCAAGCATAAGGGATTTCAGAAGACATTGACACTTCCATAGGATAGCTGCTAAGTACATAACAGTTAACAGTATATTGCATAACTAAGACATATGGTAGATAGTAGTGACAATCTGACATATAGGTAGTAAGAGTCAGCCACGAATTTAGTTCCAGTGCCTCTGTGTTTTAGTTTCAGACTTCACTACTTCAGCCATTCAGTGTTTCAATAGCAATCGTGCAGGTAGAGTGAATTGGTGTTGTTTTAGGTTGCCTGATCTTCGTTATCATTTATCATTGTAAGTTCAGCTCAGCAAACGTAAAAAAAACAATGGAACACAGTGCACAAATCATTGTGACTTCTTAAATTCAAATAGAGACAGAGGTCATGTTGAAGATTTTTGGTTTTCAGTAGAGTTGTTAAAAGACCTGATAACAGATGAATAAAGCTTGACTCAGTTTTTCTGAACTCTGAGAAGTCATGTCTAATGTCAGGAAGGGGAAGAAGTTAGTTGAGACCAAAGTGGACCATGGCCCCCTGCCCAACTTGATCTCCACTCGGTAAACCATAACTTTGGTACTTTTCATAGGTGTTCAGAGCTTAATTACTTAGACTGCTTATTTTTATTTGGTCAAGCTCTGTCTCTAATGTCAGGTTACTAATCAAGTTAGATGCTTTTGTGTTAATAATAGGAGTACATGTGTAAACCCATGTTCTTTACCTTTACTGGTCCGCCTCTCCACATAGAATGAAACTTTGTCTAAGAATTTTTTTGGATTGACTTTTTTAAACGAATGTATAAGATTTTTTTTGTTCTTTCACATGTCTACAATGTTCTTTATTGGGTCAGTCCCCATTGCCGTTTTCAAATGATCGATTCGTATGAGAATTATTTTTCAAATCATTTTAGTGTTTGTATATAAGTAAAATTTCAGTGAGCTTTTGCCAGAAGCTTAATACCTGAAGACCTGTAATTCTTATGAAGTAAGGAAACATGATTCGGCTCTTTTTACCTTTATCATTCTGAAGATCTGAGGTACAAAGGGAACCTTGAATGTACCTCATGTCCTTAACGCAGTTATTCTGTGACCGTCCTCTGCTTTAACATGAAATTCATGTAAAGCCTCGGAGCTTTGTTAGACCTCCAATGCTACGAATTAATTAAAGCAATTTTATTAGCATCTGCATGTAACTGTCGCTGGCTAATAAATGTATTCATGCGTCTTGGTTACTGTCTGAATCTACAGCTTCGCAAGCCAAGAACCCGTAGATTGCACAAGGTACATAATGATTTGGGAAGTTCAGTACCTAATGATTTGGGAGTCCACATAGAGGGCAATCTCAGTGAACTTTTTGTTGATTATTAGTAGACTGAATCATCCCCTACTTATTTAAATCACCCATTTCATTAGAAACTAATCCAGTTCAATTAATATGTGAATTAGTAAGCTTCATATTTATCTGCTTTATGAAATCTGTCAGCTACTCAGTTGCTCCACAATCTCTCCTGTCACTGTCATCATTACCCAGATTTCTGACTTTTGAAACGGGTTAAGGAATCAAATAATCTTGTTACGGTGATATGAACTTTTATGTGTGTATGCATAAATGTACAATACTATAAATACATACCTTGATGATTACAAACCATCAATAAGAATTTTAGCCATACACAAAATTTAATTTGTAATATTGACATTCCGAACATCATATTATCGTTTTTTTTAACAATACAACACATTTATGCTCAAATTATCAGGGCATATTTGTTCCTGTTGCAACACACGGAAAATGAAAGGTCTATACAGTACAGTTGGTGAGCCTGTGACGCCACGTACTCCGTGACTGTATTAATTTCATGAATTTTGCTTTTGGATTAAATGTCACTTTAACGTTATTATTTAATTTTACAGTATTGTTATCTTATGATACGATCTATATGTTTTTAGTATAAACGTTTAGTTGTCTTACTAACTTTAATTTTAATAATCGGAAACCCTCGTCGCTTCCGTCTTCACTGCCTGTTGCAGCTTAGGCCCGGCAGGGAAAGCCGGCCCATATAGCCCATCGCGCATCCAATTTCCAATCCTTTCTCCGCTCCCAGCCTCCCCACCAGGCACCAGTCTCTCTCCCCTACCCGCAGCTCCCACCGCGTCTCGCCAGCTCCGCTCCCATCTGCGCCGCCAGAGCGCCTTCCCGACCGTCGCCGTTGACTCCGTCGCCCAACAGCAACACAACAGAGCAGATCCCCATCGCCGCCGCCTGTCTCCGTTGCTCCGGTGACTGACGCACAGCCGCACAGGTACGCTTCTCTTCCCAGAAAGAGAGGAGCAATCCTTCTCTCCTTTGCACTGCTCTTCCCTGCTGCTGTTAAGACAGTTGCTCGCGCCGCGTCTACATGCTAGTCATTTTTTTAATTTCCCCGAGGATGCGGATCCATGCCCTGCGCCGTGCGCCTCCGGCGGCCGGCCGCTGTCACCGCACTCTTTGACTGTTCGGTATTCCGGTGGCTGGTAATGACTTTCCTAGCGCGGTCTCCCATCATCAGCAACATTTCATTCTAAAAGTGCAGTTAGTTTGTCCATCTCTGTTGGCATATTTCTTTGGATTCATCAATTAGTTATGCTGCCTGTACATTGTTGATTGCACTGGATGGATGTTGTTCATCAGCCTCAAACCAATTGCAAATTGCCCCGTGCTGCCTCATGTCATCATGTTTAATTTCCCTGCGAACTCTCTACTTTGCTTCAGATATATTTATCATCAATACTAAAACCTACTACTGAATCAGGCATTCCTTTTCAACCCAAGTTGCCTGTTAACTACACCGGTAACAGCTACCGGTGGTCATGTCCTCTTTAATTTGGTTGGAAATTTGGTTCTTTATTGCTGATGTTGTTTGGTCACTCCTTTATCAGTAACTTAGGGTATCCTTGTTCTGTTTACCAATCTCAGATGTCGTATATAGATACAGCATCTAATCTGAGTCCATTTCCTCTGCAGTGTTGTTGTAGGGACATTCGTTCCGTACGCACAGTTGATACAGGAAGGTAGGTCTCATGAGCGCTACACCTGCAGCAAGCAGTAGCCTTCGAGCAGCCCTCTCATACTGTGTCAGGCAAGTCCGTGCCTATAAATGTCTCTCATGCCTTGCGAGGTCACAAATGAATCGAATGACACCTCGGGATTAAATGAATAGTCTCTAATATATTCAGTTAGGCCACCCATATGTACTGATGTTCCATTAGTAATTGAAAACAATGCAATACTATCCAGGCAAATCTAGAAAGCCATAATTTTACTGTCGATTTAGTGGCCCGGAATTGCTTCAGGCGATTAAACTCTGGTATAGGTGACAATCCTATTTGGACTAAGTTGCAGCAGAGAAACCAATGTATGCTACATCTGTGAGCACCTCTGAGAGGTTATAGGTGGCTGTGATCAGTGGTCTTTTTGGCTTGGGCATTTTGAAGGGAGCTATTGTCACACTTATCTTTGTGTATCGAATGCCACAGGTAGTAGGAGTACCACCAGGTGAGCGCGATGGTTAGCTCTGCACTGAGGCGGTGTCTCCCGTCCCGTGCCTCTCTCCATCATGCCTTTCCTCCCCACCTGCCGCCCGCCGCTGCCAGCGCCTTCCGTCGCTCATTCCAGTCCAGTGAGCATCCACCCCTCCAGCCCTCCTCCGATCCCTGCTTCTCCCTGGCCTCCCATGAGTGGTATCTCTTGAAACAAAAGATAACACTCATGGGAGGTCCTCGTGCTGTATGATGCCCATAGTTGTTATACTTGTGTACCTTTCCCCAAAGTCGGTTATAACAGTAAATTGAATCGAATGGCCTTGGAGATCTAGGTCTGATGTGAATTCTTTGTCTAGCTTTCTCAAGCTAAAAACCATCATTTCCTTATACTTCTGGTGTAATAATACTTTAAGAATGAAGAATTGACTCTTGAATGGTCTCAATCAGGCTGATGTTGATATGGCTATCTTGTTCGACTGTTTTTGTGCAGGGGATGGCGAGACTATGGACGAATTCGAAGAACGGCTGTTTGGGAGGAAGGGCACAGATGAAGGATCACTCTACGCGAAGCTTGATAGGGCTGAGAACGCTGGTAGGAGATACAATATGGGCTCTGGGATGGGTGGTTTCACTGGGTTCAGTGACAGGAGCAGATCTGGGTCGTCCATGGGTGGTTTCCCTGGGTTCGGTGACAGGAACAGCTCTGGTTTCCCTGGGTTTGCTGCATCTGGCGACAGGAGCAGCTCTGGGTTGATGGGTGGTTTTGATTCTTTGCACGATGGCTTAAGTGATAAGCTTGCTAATGTGGCACGCAACATCCAAATGGAGGAGGAGGAGGAGGACGACGACGACGACGGCGGCGACTGGGAAGATGATTTTGAGTTCAGGTCTGATGTGCCGTATAAGCGAGGTTCGACATATTCTGTTCGGGTAAGCAGTAGTTTGGTTTTCAGTACATAGCCAGAATTATTGGAGTCATCTAAAATCTTTTGCAGCCTATATGATTTTGTTATCCTGTGTAAGCATTCAGGAATTAGTGGGTAAAGTGTGTGGGCTAGAAATGTCTGCTATCCTTAAGTCACAGTAAAATCGTGTGTTTTACTAGCTGATGTTCGTCAACAAAATGGGAATTTCATTTCCAATACCCAGATTTACTCTTTATAATACCAATATACCATGTGTACTTTACAACTTTCTTTCTTCATTTATTAGTTTATTCGGTGATCTGCCCGTGCGTGGTTGCTATTCTAATGCCTTGTTTCATTCAATTCTGATAAGTGTAGGACCTTGACCTTAGAAGACCTGCAGCCGCAAAGAACCCTCCTAGACCACAGTTTGAAACAACTACAGCGGAGGTTTTGAAGAAGGCTGATTTTAGGGTGAGTATATCTGCCTGACAACACAAGGAAATTGACTACAGTTTCTATTTTATATTGAAATGTGTATTTTGCTGTGCTCTACGGCTTTGTAAATTCTAGGGCTGCTAGGTAACACAAAGCTCAGGAACACAAAGAGTCTATGCTGACCTCTTTTTCCCTATGGCAGGTGGGCCATGCCACCACCTTCTAGAAGGTGTCCCCATGTGTCATAGTGAAGGTTGGATACTTGTGTCATGTTGGATGCTTCCTTGTGGGCCCATAAATCCGTGTGCTCTCCCTTTTAGCCAATAAGAGAAGAGAACCTCGGGATCCAAGGGTGGAGATTGACTCTAGAAGTGTTGGGAGGATCATGGTATCGAATCCACAGGGAACAAGGAGTGATAGGAATCTAGAACTAATGATTTTCTATGAGTTGTGGAGATGAAAGGAGGTGGACTACTATGGGTTATTCTGGAACTAATACTTGAACAAGAGGTGGACACCAGGGGTGGAACTAATAATCACTGTTAACACTAAATCTATGTTACTCTGACATTTTCTTCTGATTTTTCTACTTGTTCTTTTTGAATTTAGCAAATTCAAGGTAGTTCATTGCAATGAAGTACATGTTAATCACTATGCCACCTGCTTTAATTTACTAGTGCATAAAAGAAGCTTATATACATATTGGAATGGTTTTGGTTTGCAAACATTTGACTGCGACAAGCATCGAAGCAAGTATTCGAATGCGAGCCATGTGTTTAATGCTCCAAGTTTCAACGTGTATGAAATACATATATTTTGACTGATCGGATCAATTTGCAAAGAAAATCAGTTCACTGTGGAAAACTATGTCAATAAATATTACTGTTAGGCGCCTCTTTGCATTGAAGAGACATGTAATGTTTCTCCAAAGATTATATCTTGAGCTTTGGTCTGGTTGATGAATTCATGTTTGTCTACATGTACATTCTAGTTTCACTCCTTAACAGATTTGGAACTGTTTCTTGCAGAACGTTAGATTCCTCCCCAAATTTCTTACAGAAGCTGGAATTATCATCAAGAGAAGCCAGGTAACCACTGATACTCAAGTACTCATTATATATGACGACGAGCTTTTTGGGGCAAGATATTCCTTCCTTTTAGTGAAATTGTCAGATCCTGTCGTGTTAGATAATTGTTTTTCATGCAATACTGGGAGCAGCTATCCTGAATGCATTACTCCATCCTGGATAGCTATGCAGCATGGATATGGATACATGTATCAATATCCGACGGACACGGATACGTGTATCAATATCCAACGGATACGGATATGGCATTTTTTAGAAAAAATGATATGTATTGATATTTTAAATAAATAAACAATTAGGCATATGAAAATTCTACAAGCAGTAGCAGCCTAGCAAGAAGTTACCATGCATTCTTGCAATTACGTTGTTATTCTCATCCTTGTATAAACGCTTTAGTGCAGAAGTAGAAACTTGAGGGAGGACTCACTACTCAAGCATATCAAAATGCGAACCTATCTGTATGTATCTCACAAGTTCTAATGCAATGTTATCTTCACCAGCTTGACAAGATCTTAAAAGAGGTGGTTTCTCTCAAGAGGGAGAACAGCCTTTGAAGGTGTACTATGCTAGGTATGCGGACACAATCTTGTTAGGCATTCCACGAATTCCAAATTTCTTTAATGCCGCTAGACCTAAAGAGCATGCCTGAACCATACTAAAAACTATTGTGATAAGTTAGACCTCAATGTCAGGTGGGAGGAGCTTACCTCTGAGAAACTTATCATTTTTTTGGTGGGAAAAGAGAGATCAATATCCGGAGAGAAATTAAGCAAATAATTGTCGGAGGAGAATAGCAAAAGTGGAACTCAGGCAGCGTAACTGCCGATCAGCAACCAACACACATCATTCTGGGGGCCTTTGCCCTTACCTCCCTTTGCTTGGAGCAGAACAGCTAAGTGGACAGAGAGGCTGCTGCTGGCAAACACATAGGCATCGCCATGGCCACCTCGTGTGGCAGCAACCACACCATGGGCAGTCACGCTCTGCTACCGTCCCTGTGCCATCGCCTCCTAGCGCGAGTGCAGCTGCTGCCTCATCTTCTGGAGCAGCATAACACGTCATCGCTCGTCCTGGAGGAGATCAGGAAGTCAGGAGCTCGCAACCGTGGGGCGTCACTGCCACAGTAATTCCTGAGGACCTCACCGCTGCGGTCACTTGGTGGCCATGTACGAGATCTCGCCGTACGGGCATAGAGCGAGTTGTGGCGGCCGTGTATGGGGAGAAAGGATGCAGCAGATGGAGGTGTGCAGGAGTTACTACAAGCAAATCCACTGGTGGACTGGGCCGTGTTCGATCTGCATATCCAACAACCCCGACGTATTGGCAAGAAGTAGGTGTGTATTGGATATTTATCCGATACAGGATACGTCCCTAGTCCCTACCCTGACGTATCTGGGTAGAATAGCTGGAAAGAGATCCCGATGCCACTGCTATGCCAGGATCTTCTTACGTTTTTGCATTTGTAATTCTGTATCATAGTCAATACATATGTTTGCCATGGTTTTTAACCTACTCATTTTCTTCACAGACCCGTATAAGTGCAAAAGCTCAGCGTAAGATTGCAAGAGAGATAAAAACCGCGCGTGCGTTTGGGTTAATGCCTTTTACAACAATGGGTAGAAGACCATTCATCTTTGGCAGAAGCGCAGGGGAGCATTATTCGGAGGAGGAATATTTCGGCTTTGTGAAACAGAAGGATGATGAGCCTGTTGAGGATAATGGGGATGTTGAGCCAAATGTGGAGGCTGTGTAAACATTCTGGAGCATCCTTTTGCAAGCGCTCGGTTTCTTCTGTTGCTGCCGTCCCTCGACACAATGTTCGATGCTCGTTTTGGGTCTTCAGAGCATAATAACGTAGCTCAGCTTGAATAAAACTGTAACATCACACTTGTTTTGTGAACGTATGCCTTGCTCACTTGTGCCATTATAGCAAATATGCCCAGCTTGATATCCCCCTGGCTGGAGATCATATGCAATATGAAATGGAACATGGGATCAGGGCTTTCCTGCGCGCTATGAAATTTTAGAGGTAGTAGTTCTGATTTCATTTTCTGTTGGGTAATAATTATTTGGTTGTTCAACGAGGGCAACGACAGTTCTGAATTTTTTTGACGTTCAGACAGTTCTGAATTCATGTGCCTAGTTGTTGACAGCTAGCTTCATTTCTTTTATTGCTGTTGGAAACAATGTATAGGGCCGGGTTAAGACTCTTGCATCTTTGTGGGCTTGTGGCCCAAAGAAAATCACAACTCTTGCCTGGCCTGTCAGCGTGGCCCGGCCGATGGGCTTGGCTCAGCCCGCGTGTGTTATTGACGTGGACAGCAAAACGTGTGCCTGAAATATTTTAGACAGCGGGTGGCTCGATTAGGCTCGGCCTGTTTCCGGTCTAAAAAAAACAAGGCCTGAAATGGCCTATGGGCTGCTACTGGCCATAGATTTTAGGTCCAAACTAAGGGCCTATTTGGGTGACATTTTTTTTTCGATGACGTAGTTTTTGGAAACAAATGGTGTCACAAAATTGTGGTTTTGTAAGCTAATAAAGAGACGCAAAACCATGGCTCAGAAAAAAAAAAGAGGTCATGAATGAGTTTTAAAAACTCAATAAGGACTATAGTTTCCGATGTTCATGTGTATATTATTGTGTGACTTTATACTAATGTTCATACGTGTATATTATTGTGTGACTTTATACATACATATTTCTAACTTAATTTTTCGGCTTTTTCCGTCCATACTTGTCTGTTTCCATATGTCATCATATCCCGATTCCGTTTTCGATCTTAGCTTTTTCGAACCAGGTTATGTTTCCACCAAAAAAGATATAGAAACGGAAACGGGAGAAGGGTTTTTCTGCCTATTTCTGTTCATTTTCATCCTTTTCTTAGACCAGTTCTCAAATCTGTTCCCGGCTCTTGAGTGGGTAGTGACGTTGGGTGCTGTGATCCAAAATCCTCAAAGGAGTGAGCCAAAACAACATGCAGTGGCAACAGGCGGATCACGGAAAGTTGGTGCAGATTTTACGGTCTGCACTCCGCAAGGTCATGTCTTTCACTCTTTTCTGGAATGATGTTTAGTTTAGAGCTTGTTACCCATGATGACTTCAGCAAAGACACCACAACAAAGTAATTGTTGTAAGCATCATTTTTATCGGCGGGAGGTGACTTGTTGGTCTCTATCTGCGAAGGGATGGGTGCTCCTCGACAGTCTCCAATAGGGGTAGTAATTTCGAGTGGACGACCTAGCTGCCGAAAGCCGAGGATAGAAAATCATACCTCCAAGGGTTGGAGGTATTGTACTTCCTCACTATGATGTACTCGATGATGCAACCGTCAGTGTTATTTCACAGCTTCGTCATATGCATTTCAGTCTTCTAGAGCATTAGTAGATCTTGAGGTATGTCCAATGTTTTAGTCTAGAGTTGATCGAGGATTGGATATGAAGATTGCATTGTGGTTTTGGTGTTCAAGAGGTTCATTTATCTAAAGCATTACCTACCTTGACACTGCCCACTGGGGAGAATGACTACGAAAAGAATTGGAAGAATATTGTATTTGTTGGGATGCACTATGCCGGCCTATCATAGTACGTATTAGTATAATTCCTCTCCCCTCGCAAAACAAGAAGTTCCTGGCCAATGTATCCCTAACATGAAAAATGTTTTTTTATGAGAACGTGAAATGATTGTTAGGCCACTTCTTTTGTACATAAGCAAATTTTCACGAGGTCCATGTAACGTGTCGGTAGTAACATGCCGAATTGCAAATCCCACTCGTGGCCCTTGTTGACTATTGTGGCCTACAACCTCGTCGAAGCAGGAGGAAGTTTTCATAGGCTTATTGTAGTTGACCTATTACCTGGAAATCGTGCTTAGTTACTGTGTTTAGCGGAAACGTCGGTGCTTAACCTGGTGGCGGCGCTTTAATTACCTTCAACTTCTCTTTTCATGTAATGTAATCACAAGGTGACAAAACAAGCAACTGCATTTGCACATGATACATGAGCATTCTAACGTTCGTAAACAGAGTATGTCAAAGTATGAATGAATGCCTTTCCAGTTTTTTGGATGTCGAATTCAACTAAGTTTGCTAGACACGATTTGAACTCAAACCTGCAACGACCTCCCCGCTTTACCCTTCTCCATTTTGTCCAACACTTCCTGAATTCCTAGCTGTTTGCAAGCTAAGACCCTGTTTGATTCATTAATTATTTGCTAATAGTTAATTGGCTAATACTCTCTCCGTTCTAAATTATAAGTCGCTTTGATTTTTTTAGTTTATCCATTTTGCCATGTATCTAGACATAATATTATATCTAGGTGTATAGCAAAATAGATGTACGAAAAAAGTCAAAGCGATTTATAATTTGGAACGGAGGGAGTAGCTCATAACTCATATTAGCTGGCTAACTATCAGCTACCTATTAGCTGGAGGGTGTTTGATGCACAGCTATTAGCCAGCTAACAATTATTAGTAGGTTTCTGTTATTTCTCTACATATTAGCTGTTATTATCTAATTTGGTCCAACTAGTGAGATAGTTGCTATTTAGAGGTTCAGTTAACAATTAGCTAGTCTATTATTTATACATGTTTAAATCCAAAATAGATAATTATTAGCAGATAACTATAATTTACCCGGATCCAAACAGAGCCTAAATAGCGAAGAGCAGAGCGTCCACCTCTGTGAGTTCGTCATCAGAAATTCAAACAAAAAGAACGTCTACACTGCATTTCAAAATAAAATGATAGGTTCCAGTCAGAGACTCAGAGTATATAGTCATGTGATGAGAGCCCTGACTGAGCACTGCACGAGGCAATCAGGATTTTTTTTTTGTTTTTTCTGCGAGGAACCAATCAGGACATGTTTTCCCCTACCAATGCCGATTATACATGCTCAAGGAACAGGAATCTTTCTCTGTGTCAACTCAACCGAGCAGGGATCTCGAGGCAACTGGGGAACGCAAGATCACCGAAAACAAGAAAATGGAAGAAGATGAAATGGGAGGCTTTGTCTTACTCTTACTACAAACAATGCAAGGTGCAAGAACTGAACAAGTGGTGGAGCTCCACCATGCCCCCCATGCCGCCGCAATGACCACAGCTCGCTCAGTGGCTAGCCTCTGCACTGGGTGATGGCGGAGCAGCCCCGGGTGTAGGGGTTGGCGGCGCCGCCGGGGCGGCAGTTGTAGTAGGACGCGCCGCGGTACGAGCACGGTGTCTGGTCCTTCTGCAGCGCGCCGTAGCCGATGTCGTCGCCGCCGCCCAGCTCCCTCCTGGCCGTCACCGCGCACTCCGCCCCCACCGCCATGCCCGCGCAGGCCACGCCGCCGTAACCGTAGTCCGCGTCCGCCGCCCAGTCATCGTCGTGGCGGTACACCGGTGCCGACGCGGCGGCGGCGCTCCGCTGCGCGTTGTTGCCTTCGACGGCGAGGAGCACGGCGGACACAACAAGCGCCGCGAGCGCCGCGCGGCGCCGTGGCGGCGTCGGCAGCATGGCGCGCGTCCGGCCGGCCGCTTTATGCTGCAGACCTGCGCGGTAGAATGCTCTCCTGCAGGGCCGCAGTCAGTAGTCTTCCTGCGCTTTGTTCTTGTTGTGTGTCCTGGGGTACCACGTTACCAGTGCCAGAGCTACCAACTTTAAAGATTCGAGGACAGTTTAGTCAGTTTAAAAAACCCCCGAGAGGATTGGATTTTAAATAATAAGGTGAGGCGTGTGGAAATTCGTAATCAATGTTAAACATTTTTAAGTTTTTATATACATTACACCTTCTAGATCCCCTGGTGAGCATGATAATGTGATGCTTAAAGGAGGTGCTTAGTGAAAAAGCTAGGTTTCTCTGAACCAATACCGATAGCGTAGCATGATGCTTTAAAGGTGAATAAGGTCTGGTTTGAATCCATGGAGCTAATAGTTAGAGCATCTCTAATAGTTTCTAAAAAGACAATTGGTAAATCTATGAGTTTTTTAAGTGGCTAAGGGAGGATATTTGTTGGGTTACTCTAATAGTTTTCAGAATCTCACTCCTAAAATATAGAAAAGAATTTTGCATCAGGAATCCCGTACTATTTTGAAATCATCCTAACCACTTTTATACCTTCTTTCTCTCTAGTACATTTGCATAAAAAATCCTGTCCTACTTTTATATTCTTCCCCCACGTCCTTCCACCTCCAGATTGGCGCGATTGGGTCGATTCTCCTAAGTACGAAAAGATTGAGGGTTGACATTGTCGGTGTTTTCGGACCACCGAAGAGTAAATTTGTATTTACGCATATGGCTCGGATGGTGTGCTCGGAGGACACAAGGGTTTATACTGATTCGGGCGAAACATCCCTACGTCCAGTTCGCTGCTGCTCGTGTTACTGGCACTTGGTTTGCAGTAGGGGTTACAAACATGCGAGAGAGGGAGAGGATCCCAAGTTCTTGGTAGAATGAGTGAACGGGTGCTAAGAGCTCGCTTGACGCTCAGCCGTGTGCTCGTGTCGTGCTCTTTTGTTTTGATCCCCCAGTAGGGGCGCCCTGCTTACCCTTTTATAAGCGAAGGAAAAGCGCGGGTTACAGAGGAGAAAAAGGAAAAGAACGAGAGAGAGAAGAATGCTTCCAGGGTTGCCGGGTCCTTCTTCTCCTTCATACGGATCCCGCCGATCCTGTAGATGTCAACAGGGACGGCTTCATGTTGCGGCCCTGTTCGTCACTGGCGCCATGCGCAGGCGTCATCTGCCGGTCGTGGCGTTCTACTCCGTCCCGGCGGACGTTGTGGTGAACTGACGCGCCTGTCAGCGTCCGTACTAGGATTAGGCAGAACAACACCGACACGTCCGACACTGTTCTTGGTGTGAATCCCTAGGTATGGCCCGTCATAGCCACGGGTTACATCGAGAAGTGCCAACCTCTTCCCTGGCATCAGAGTTTTGACCCAGGCCCATACGCTTGGATCTGAAGTGGTTGGCGGCGGTATGGATCCTCGTCGGACAAGATGGAACCCGCGTTCTTGAGGTCGAGCGAGTCGGAGCCCGTGACCTTGGATGAGACGGAGCCCGAACCCAAGGGGTCGGGCGAGACGGAACCCACGTCCTTAGGGTCGGGCGAGACGGAGCCCGCACCCAAGGGGTCGGGCGAGACGGAGCCCACGTCCTCGAGGTCGGGCGAGACGGAAACCACGTCCTTGGGATCGAGCGAGATGGAGCCCGCAGCCAAGGGGTCGGGCGAGATGGAGCCCGCGGCCTTGAGGTCGGACGAGATGGAACCTACGTCCTTGGGGTCGGGCAAGACGGAGCCCGCGGCCTCGAGGTCGAATGAGACGGAACCCGCGACCTTGGGGTCGGACGAGACGGAGCTTGCACCCGAGGGGTCGGGCGAGAAGGAGCCCGTGACCTTGGGATCGGGCGAGACATTTTAATACGTCTCGAGCCATCCGGGGAAGTCAGCGTGAGCGCTAACTTCCTTGCTTTGGGTATCCCTAATATCGATACCCGACAGAGATATATAATTTTTTTACAATTTTGCCAAAAAATTAAGATTAGGAGTGGGTTTTGGAAACTCTTGGAGATGTTCTTGCTAATAGTTAGCTTTTTGGATCCAAACAGGTCTAGCTAATAGTTTAGCTAATTGTTAGTTGAACTAAACTAGTTAATAACAGCTAATATTTGTTAATAACAACTAATATTTGTTGGACTAAACTAGTTAATAACAACTAATATTTGTTAATAACTGCTAGTATTTATTAATAACAACTAATATTTGATGGACTAAACTAGTTAATAATAGCTAATATTTGTTAATAATAGTTAATATTTGTTGGACTAAACTAGCTAATAACTATTTTATTAGTTAGACTAAACTAGTTAATAACAACTAATATTTGATATAAACTATTAGTTAGCTAACTATTACCAGCTAATAGATCCAAATAGAATCTAAGATGGCTCCAACAACTTGGACTTATAATGCATGGTACGAAAGAGCCAATTTTCCTTTTGGCCCTCAGCCACCAGTTTGTTTTGATGTGGTGCACGACCAATCGATATGATGCACCATGTTTCTTTATTCGATAATGATAGGACGTGGGCGTCTGGCCCGTCCAGACATCGCGCGCCTGGGCCTGCGGCCCAATAGAATGATCAAGCCGAAGAAAAAGAAGGCCCGCATTGAGTCGCTTCCTTCGACCCTCGCCATTCCCACACCGTACTCCCAGATCTCCGCTTCCTCCATGCCCCTCTCACGTTGCCGCCACCCCCTTCCTCCTCTCTTGACGTGCGAAGAAGCAGCGACTCCCTCCCATCTGACGTGCAACGCATCCCATCGCCGTCAGACGCTCACGGAGGTGGGGCACGACCTTTTGCGTGTGGAGGAGTGGCAAGTCCCGTCCTCGTCCTCGGTACGCGAGGAGGTGACAGCGATGGTGGCACAGCCCTAGCCACCTGGACATGACTATGGCACAAGCCAACGCGACGACGCCAATGGGGCAACCTCGGCCAGTGCGGCGGTAGCAACGCTTCTCCAACAAGCTCATCCAGTGCGTTGGTAGCGACGCTTCTCCAACAAGCTCGACCCACTCCCCGCGGCGCTTCCCCCTGCCGCCGGCCGCTGCACCTACCGCCAGCCCCTTCTTCCTGTCCCCCGTCCGGCCAGAGCTCGCCGTCGGCCCCTTCTTCCCGCCCCTGCCTGGCGAGAGCTCGTCGAAAGAAAGGCGAAAAATGCATGTTGTAATCCTATGTTTTAGGTGTTTCAGATGTTTCTTAGGTATATTGCAAATGTTTCATATACATGTTGCAAAACTAGATCAGGATATTGTATATGTTGCAATCGTTGTACACGTATGTTGCAACCTTCTGTTCCCAATGTTTAATATGTTTTTTTCGATATATGTTGCAACTGTGTTTATTTTTGGATGTTGCACATGATTCACATATCTGTTGCAAGTGTTTTATTTGAATGTTGCATATATTTTTATAATGGTTTTGAGGTGTTTTCGTAAGTGTTTCAGATGCATATTTCAAATGTTTTATCTGTCTTCATACCTATGGTGCAAGTGTTGCATCTGGAGGTTTCAAAAATAGATCGGGTGTTGCATCTGCATCTCCCTGTCTTCAAACCTATGTTGCATGTCGCCCGTCATGGGACAGCGCCCTACCGTAGCTGCTGGGCGCAGCCATGGGTCAACCCCCGTGGGCTTCCCGTGCGAGTGCGGGGTGTGCGCGATGCGTGGATCCTGCGAACGGACGCGAGCGCGGGTGCTGTGCGGGATGCAGGGCGTGATGCGGATGTGAGAGCTGCGTTGTGCTAGGCGGGATAAGGGGATGTGGGGTGTGGGGTGTTAAGCAGTCGTGGAGCTGTGTCCGGACGTGAAATCCCGTTCGGACGTCCGGACGCTAGGCCTTCCGTTCTTTATTTAATGCATGGTGCCGTAGATCACACTTTCTCTACACAAGGAATAATGGTGCACGAGATTCATGCAGTGTCGGTAGTAGGGTAACATGCATTGTAGATATGTATTGTGTATACGTGTAAGCCATTTTCCTCGATTTATTTCAGGATTTAACGGCGTTATGCTTTCATTGGTAGGCGGCGTCCCCGTCGACAGCGAGACGCCTGTGGTGACTTCGTGAATTTTGAGATCTGCCGGCTTAGTTCTTCGGAGGTGCTCATAGGGGTAGGGTTTACGTACGTGTGTTCATAGGGATAAGTGTGCATGCGTGTTGTGTGTGTCTACGTTGTACCTTGTAATTTTTAAAAAACGGCCCTTGCAGTTTTGGATCTGCCTCGTTGCGCTGTACAATGTACATTGACTTACTTTGCTTGGCTGGAATCTCGAGCAAGAACCTGGCTTGTTTGGTTGACTCGGTCGTGCTTAGCCGCCGCCTTTAGCAGAACCCTCGGTACTTAACAACGTGGCATCCCTTTCAAACTCAAAACAACAACAGCAACAACGTGGCATTGCCACCAGCCCAATCCACGTCCACGACTATGATTTCAGCCCATTTTGTGGAAGACATGGTTCGGGTTGAAAATGCTACTTTAACTGGACGTGGGTTGGGCTGGTTCTAAGTAGAAAGGGAATGAAGAATAGCTTTTTACCTGTATGGCGCTCAAAAAAATGGCTCTTCCTTGTATGACCTTTTTTTTTAACTTAGGGCTGTTTGGTTTCTATAGAAGGTCCTAAAATTTCTATCACATCGAATGTTTGGACACATGTATGGAATATTAAATATAGACTAATTACGAAACTAATTGCATAACTTGTGACTAATTTGCGAGACGAATCGTTTAAGCCTAATTAGTCCATGATTTGACAACGTGGTACTATAGTAAACATGTGCTAATAACGGATTAATTAGGCTTAAAAAATTCGTTTCGCAAATTAGCCTCCATCTATGTAATTGGTTTTGTAATTAATCTATATTTAATGCTCCTTATTAGTATCTAAACATTCGATGTGACATGAATTTTAGGAGCGACTAAAGAACCAAACACCCCCTTACTTGTATGGTCCTGA